AACTCGCCCTCGCTCGGCGTCGGGTTCGCCGCGGTGGCTCGCGCCGTCCGCGGGCCATTCGCTCCGCGATCCTGGGCTCCCTATCGGCAGTCCATTGTCCGCGCTGTGAACTACTTCAAGGGGCGTGGGGGGCTTCGCTTTCTCCCGTCGCCGCACATGCGCCCATGCCGCAAAAGCTATTGCCATCGCTGCCACTGGGAAACACCGTAACTGCTATGGCCGCCACTGCCCCTGGTTAGCGACTGGTCCGCCCAAAGCGAACTGGTGTCCACTCGGAAGAGCCAGCCCTGCTCGAGTCCTGGCGCTGGAGTGCGTGTGCCCTGGAAGATGACGCTGATCCCGAATCTGTGTCAGGAACACCTGGAAGCCTGGTACGTTTCGTGGTAAGTGCCCCCCGTGGAGGGTCGACAGGAGAGGCCAATGCACATCGTGGATACCCAACTGGTGGAGCAGCATCAAATTGAGGCCGCACGCGCTAATTTGGAAGCCCCCAGCTTGATCGCCTGCTTTTTCGGCCGTGGCAGTCGTCGATCGGCTTGCGCGGCAGCCGGCGAAATGTGAGGAGGAACTTGATGACCGCGGAGACGGTTGTCTCGAACTCCTGGGCAGCGAAGTTACGGGCGAACCTGTTGAGGAAGATCTCGAGGCCCGAGACCACGACCGGGTTCCCATTGAGGTCGAAGACCTGCTGGCCCACGGCGTTGACCTAGGCGCGGCGTTTGCGCAGGATGCCCGGGTCCACGTCGCAGGTTCACTGCTGGGCCACGCAGAAGCGGTGGACCACCGCGCCGCCCTGGGCCTCAACGGCCATCCCTGGGGCGCTGCTCCATATGCGGACGTTCTGTAGGCACGTCCAGAACGGATAGCGCTGGAGCTCCAGTTCGGGCGACCAATAGGTCGGTACCTTTCATGTGATGAGCTGCGCCGCTTTGGCGTCGAGCCGCTGCTGAGGCGGCTGCGGCGCTCCAGAGCTGCCGTCGTAACCCCAGTAATTGCCAGCACCGCCATGGCAGATGCCGTCTCCCTAAAGAGCCTAGTGGTGGATGGAGAGGAGTTTAAAAACCTGGTGCGTTGCAGCCAAGCTCCGCTACCAGGGTGAAATGACATGTGGTTGTGAAAGGATCGATCTGCTTTCAGCAGCGAGAAACTAGAGTGCAGCAGCGGGTGCAAATGGCACCGGGCGAGGAAGCGACATGATGGCAAACGAGACTACTTATGTTTGTATACCTCAAACACCGCAAAGCCAAAGACGAAACGGAGCATGTGCATACCCGTGCAAACATGCACGAACTTGTCACAGCTGATTACAACACGATAGCAGGAACAACGCATGTACCATTGTAACGTGCCCATTATGCATAAAAACCTCGATGATAGAACACGGCCAAATACAGAATAACCGGAAACCGCGCGAACCATCTGGGAGGATGCATGTGTATATCCACGCGCCCAAGCATGAACCAGAAAGTGAACGGATGACTGCGGCTCAAACTGAACAGCTGGACATCACAACGCGCGTTTGCAAACTTCCCATAAACTGTGGATGCCAAAATGTCGATGTCCCGCTCTTTCTCCTGCTCCTCCTTCTTATCCGTTTGTCATCTTCCTCCTCCTGCCCTCCGTTCTTGTCCTGTTCCCTGATATCCGTCCGTCTTCCTCCCTTCTCTTCCTCATCCGTGTTCTCTCCTTCGCCGAAATTTGTTCCGCCTCCCCCTGTCCTCCTCCCCTCCCGCCCTCCCCTGCCCTCCCCCCCCTCGCCTTTCCCCCCCTCTTCCCGCCCCGAACTCCGCCACAGCGCCGGCGCGCTGTTTCTCCGCCGGGGCCGGGCGAGCCAGCGGCGGCAGCGGTGCATTGACTCGGGAGCCTCGCGGCAGGCGCCGCAGGGGGCGCAGAGGAGCCTGCACGGGCCCTGGCAGGGCCCACCCCGGGCCCGAAGTCGCCCAGATTCGGGTGCCAGCGTTATGTCGGGCGTGTCCCCCCCTACAAGGGGATTTTCGACGAAAAATAAAAAACAAAATGCCCCATGAAGGCCAAAAAATATGCCAAAAGTCGTCCCCATACTATTTTTGGACTATTTTTGGGCTATTTTGGGGGTATTTTTTCTTTTTCGTCGAAAATCCCCCTGTAGGGGGACAGGCCCGACTTAGTGCCAGCGCCCCTCGCACTGCGCGCCCTCGCGCCGCACCGGGCAGCGCTCTGGCCCAGGGTGCGACGCGCGACGCGCGGCCACCCTCCCGCCCCCACGGGTGACCATACAGTGAAAACGTATAGTAAGGACGCGTGGTGAGGACGCAAGACCCTTGGAGGCCGAAGTTGAAGTATTCTGGGCGGCAGGCGGCCAAACCCCCAGGGAACCTGAGAAAGTGGCCTGCGAAAGTTGCTAGGAGGGACGGGCCGCAGAGGCTGAGGCAGGCAAGGATCCAAGGGTACCCTTGAAAAAACCGTTTGTCCTTACTATGCGCGTTGACTGTAGGGCCAACGCCTCTCGGGCTGACACAGAGCCCAGGATGGGGCCCGCCAGGGTCGGTGCAGGTGTACATCTAATTGGCGCCTCCCGATGAGGCCTGGGCACGCCACAGGGGCTTTTGCCGCTGTCGCTTCGCGATGGCGTGCGGCTCGTTGGGGATATGATTAGGGAGACGACAAGAGCTGTGAACATCCAGGCAGAGGGAGGGGGGAGATAACACAGAGGGGGAGGAGCGGACTAGGCGAACTCTCGCCACATCTGACATCCTACCCCTCCTACCAACGCGATCGCCGGACATGGGTTTGCCACGGATCTCGTCATAATTCAGGAAACAAGAATGCAGTCGCGCAGCTGGCAACTTGCCCCGGCCTTCCGGTGGAGGATGGGGTAGAGCAGCGTCCGCAGAAGGAGGGGGATGCAGGTAGGCGGGGGAAGCAGGCAGGGGAGCCGAAGGATGCGTGCCCCTCCCCCCCTGTCTGGCATAGAAGGACTCGGGTTCTGAAGGCAACGGGCCCCTGGGCCCTGGAGCCTTCCCCCGAGGAAGCCTCGTCACCTCGAGCCTTTTCGCCTGGCGGCCGCTTCCCAAAGCCCGAACAAGGACCCCTGTGTTCTGTTACGTCGCCGCGCGGCAAGGGCGATATCCGCACGCGCGGCGCGCCAGTCCACCGGCAGCAAGAGAGGGGGGAACAATGACGAGGGCGGCCGCAGGAGCCAGGCGGGGAGGAATGGCACGCACCGCGGAAAGGGACTCAACACGAGTGGCCAGAGCGGCCACCCTACTGTTGGGGCGACGTGGCAGTGGTCGCGGAGCGGCACCGCGACCTCACCCAGGGGCCGAAGCCGAAGCTGCAGGCGCTGAAAACGTGGAGCCAGTCGAGCCAAAATACGTCCACAGCGGCGAGAGTGGGAGCATCCGAGTGTCCGTCACGAAGCCGCAGGCGTCAGTGTTTTTGCTGCAAAGGTTCGGCGCCAGCAGGATGCAGACACGGCGTGAGCGTCTGCGGCGGAAGCTGGGGTTGCGAACAGCGCGCTGCAACAAGACGCTGCCATATTGCCATGCTGCGCCCCCGGGCGGCTGAGCTGCTGAACCACTGGACTGCCAGGGCGGCGCAGCGGAGCAGAGACTTCCTGCCGACGCCAGAGGCGGCCCAGGCGGCGGGGGGCGGCAGGAGCAAGGGGAACGGAGGAGCCAACGGCCCGGCCGGTGCACGCATCACAGCCGGGCGGCGCAGGGGCATCTGGCCACAGGGCTGGCCAGGCAGCCTCGCCATCGCTGGGACGTCCATTTCCCGTGCATGTTTCGGTGTCGTCCGTTTGTTTTTTGCTCGATGGTCCACGATGGTCCTCGATGGTACTCGCCGAGGAAAAATGCACACGTCCGAGCGATGCCAGGGGCAGGGGCGCCCAGCTGCAAGAGCAGCGGGGCAGGCGGCCTGGCGAGAGCCAGGGGACTGGGGAGCCCACAGTGGACGTGCGCGCCCAGCCGTGCACATGAGCACGGCCCCTCGATCCGCGAGACTGTCCGCGTGATACGAACAGTCGCGCAGCGCACGCTCTCGAAACCAGCGTGGCTGCATGTACGCGCACGTCCTTCTTTCGCTCCCGAGGGGGCGGCTGCTCGCCGCGCAGCCGGCGGGCCGCGCGACAAGGGCAGCACCAGGCGCGCGGCACCGGCTGCCTATAGCGCCTGCGCGAGCGGCATGACGCCCCAGCATCGGGAGCGGCCAAGAGGGGGGTGTCCAAGAGGGGTGGCGCAGATCATGACGGGCGGCATGTGCGCGGCCCAGCGGGGGGGCCAGGGATGTAAGGACACAAGAGGAGGCGCCATGAGATCTGGGGAAATATCATGGCCCCCGCCATGAGATCGCCCCCCCTAATCATCACCCCCCTCTTTGCCGCCCCCGTCCAGCAGCTGCCTGGGAGCGCCACCGGGAAACCTCCAGCGCGTCACCTGCGCTGCCCCCCCGATCGGTGCGCAGACCTCTGCAGGGAGCACGCGCCTTGGGGAGTGGGCGCTCCCACCAGGGGAGCGAGCGAGAGACTCCGCCTCCGGGGGGAGGGCGCTCCAGCCAGGTCGTGACACAGGGAGAGGGAGGGCGGACGTGCCGCCCGGGGTGCCGCACGCGGGAAAAGGCACCCGATCGGTGCACGGACGCGAAGGGAACAGAAGGTGTGCACGCCTCGGGGGTAGGCCCCCTCTGGGCCTCGGGGTGGCGAGCGATTCACTCCGGGGGGCGGCACGCAGACCGGGTTCCACCTGCTCCGTGCCCTGCCCAGACGGCACGAACGTCCGCCTCGGGGGGGCAGACACCCGGTACGGCACCGCGGGGTGCCGGCAGCGTGACTCAGAGGGTGTCCGCCCTGTGAGGCAGGCACCCATGGAGGTCGAGGCCCGAACGGGCCCCGAGAGCGGAGAGCCGAGAAGGGTGAGACAGTTACCTTGGGACCCCTCCCCCTTCGGCATCCTCACGGTGAGACAGCAACGACGACGGCGGCGGCGGCGGCGGCGACGACTCGCGCGGCGCCGAGCTTCTCACGCCCGCCTGCCCCTGGAGGTGTGCCTCGGCTGGTGCCGCTGGAAGCGCGCGCGGGCGGGCGGCCGCCCAAAGACCGAGGGGATTGTCGGGCAGCCGATCGAGGATCGCCGGGGGGATCGAAGATCGCCAGCGGATAGAGGATCGAGTCCATCCTCGAAACTCGATCGAATCGCACGGGCCCGCACGTGCCCGCGGGACGGCCACGGGATCGCGGATCGAGGATCGTCGCAGGTGGTCATGTCGAAAAGCGTCTGAAAGCATCGGGCCTCGATCTCAGCGGCACGCCCGGGGCGGAAGGGACAGGTGGGGGGGGTGGGGGGGGGGCGAGGGCCTTCTGAGAGCGGCTGCTGCGCTGCCTGCTGCCAGCCGCTGAGCCCTCGGCAGGCGTGATCGCATCCAGTCTTCATCTACCAGAACCACGCGCGCGCTTCGCGCGCGCTTAGGCTCTAGTCGACTCCGAAGACGGTGTCCATTTCCACGGGACCTTTTCCATGTGGTCTTCCGGGTTCCTCCCTTTCACCCATGCGTGATTTTCGGGCGGATGCTGCGAAGTTCAAGGAAGGGTTTGGCCTGTAGCGTACCAGCGACGACCGACGACGACGACGACGACGACGACGGACCACCGACGATCAGCATCATTGTCACCTGATCTACGTGTGCGGGAGAGGCGTTTCCAGAGCGTCTTGTGGGCGTCATAGGGGGCGTCCTCGAGCCTCGACATTGGGTGGACGGGTCGGGGAGTGCAGCCAGGGCCACGTGTTCCGAAGGGCTGTTCCGGAGCATGGAGGGCGAAAGGCTTCTGGCGGGTTTCTGAGGGTCTGTGTAGAGGACTCCTGCGAGCTCGGTGGGGGTTTCTCGGGAGCTTCTCAGGTCTTTCCAGAGCCTTTTTGGTGGCTTCTTGGGGCGTCGTGGAGGCCTCCTCGGAGTCTCTTGGGGCCTCTTGGGGGCCTCTTGGGGCAGAGGGCGCCTCTGTTCGGGCATTTGTGGGGCTCTCCAGAGCCTCCTGGGAATATCTTGGGCCAGCTTGGGAGCCTATGGGGGGATCTGGGGCCCCTTCTGAACCCTCTTGGAGCCCTCAAGGCCCCCCCAGCCCCCCATGCGAACCAGAGGTCGCAGTTCTGGGCCAATCCCGCCACTGTGTCTTAGAGCTTCTCGGATGTTCGCTGGGATGGGGATGCCTCTCGGGGGGCCTTTTGGAAGCAGGTTTGAAGCCTCCACGGGGGCGTTGTGGAGCTTGTCGGACCTCTCTTAAGCATCTTTGGGGCCTCTTTGGAGCCTCCTGGAGCCACTGGGGGCTTGGGGGCCTCTTGGGGCCTCCTGAGGGTCTCTGGGGGCGGGAAGTTCGAAAGGTCGGTTCGCGTTCCTTCTCTTGGGCCCATCTTGGAGCCAATTTAGGCCCTCTTCAGGCCCTCTTGGGCCGTCTTGGGGACCTCTTGGGCCGATCATGCGGCCCTCTTGGGCCGTCTTGGGGGCCTCTTGGGGGCCTCTTGGGGCGACGTTGGAGGCTTCTTGGGCAGTCTTGGAGTGTCGGCCGCTCGAAAACGTGAGAAGCAATACAGATTGGAAGCACACCATAAAAATCAATGATTTTGGCGTCTTGGGGCTCTCTTGGAGGTCCTCGCGGAGCGACCTTGGGGCATCTTAGGGGCCTCTTGGGCCGATCATGGGGCCATCTTGGGCGGCTTGGAGATCTCTTGGGCCGTCGTGGCGACTTCTTGCCGTCTCCAGACGCCTAAGTGGACGCCTCGGGGAAGCGGAAAAAGCTCCGGGACTCCGAAAACGGGCCCCTGGATGCCAAGAAAGGCCCCCGCAGCCCAGGGGGCAAATTCGGTTACAGGTCGGTCGGTAGAAGTAGATAAAAACATGAAGTAGGAAGGCGGATAAAGTAGATTGGGTTCAGGCAATCCCTAAGAATACCAACGCACAGCATAATCAGATCGACTCTTGAAGTAGGAAGGCGCTTGTGAAATAGATTGGGATCTGGGGGTCCAAAAATACATACTTTCAACGACTGGCGTGCACGGGGGGGGATTTGGGAAAAGTGTGCGACCCTGGGCCCCCCCGGACGCCGCTTATATTATATGTATATATATATATATATACACGTGCGGCACGCGCATCCCACGGATCGTGCCGCCTTGGCAGCTCCGCCTGTACGGCCTCAACGGGAGTCCTCGCATGCGGTCCGTAGCCCATTTCGGCAGACCATTCCAAGGGCGAATAACTTCGCGCTCTCGCGCCGCCTCCCAAGGGAGAAGTGAAGGGTGAGGAGAAATCGGAGCCGAACCGCGAAGCGCGCATAACTTCGCGCCCTCGAGGGCGCCCTTGCATTCGCAGTGACCGTGCGGAGCTCTCCACACGTTTCCAGTGGGCGTCCTCCCGCGGAAGCCTGGGCAACCGCTCGGCCAGTATGTTCGAGACCTGTCGTCTTGGGGGAAGTCTGACCCGCCCTCCGAAAAAAACAAACAAAAATCCCCAGCGGGAGACTTGACATGCGACCCTCAACTCGCTTCTCGGGCCGGGCAGTGGGGGGGATAGCAAAGGGGGGGTCTGAGAATCAGCTCACGTAGCTGATTTTCCCGGCGCCTCCCGACGCCGGAGGCGGCCATGTCTCGAGGAAAGGGCCCCTCGGTGAGGCCGAAACCAGCTGCATGCAGCAGATGTCGTAACCCCCCCTTGCCCAGTCCCCCCGTTCGTCCGGCCCGAGTTTCGGCACACGCACACACACACACACACACACACACACACACACACCACACACACACACACACACACACACACACACACACACACACACACACACACACACACACACACACACACACACACAACACACACACACACACACACACACACACACACACACACACACACACACACACACACACACACACACACACACACACACACACACACACACACACACACACACACACACACACACACACACACACACACACACACACACACACACACACACACACACACACACACACACACACACACACACACACCACACACACACACACACACACACACACACACACACACACACACACACACACACACACACACACACACACACACACACACACACACCACACACACCACACACACACACACAACACACACACACACACACACACACACACACACACACACACACACACACACACACACACACACACACACACACACACACACACACACACACACACACACACACACACACACACACACACACACACACACACACACACACACACACACACACACACACACACACACAACACACACACACACACACACACACACACACACACACACACACACACACACACACACACACACACACACACACACACACACACACACACACACACACACCTCGCGCGGGTCGTGCCGCAGCTGGGAGCTCAGCGCGCCTCTCCGCGCTTGGCTCCGCGAGCCCCCGCCGCTGCCCGCACTGCCCAAGAGACTCAACCCCGCATGCAGCAGATTTCGTACCCCCCCCTTTCCCAATCCCCCCCTTTCGTCCGGCCCGTCCCTTAGGCCCCCGTCTTCGATCTGGGCCGTCTCGGAACCTTCCGAAGCCCTCTTCGAGGCATGCGGAACCGAAAACCCGAAGAAGCTGCAAGCCTTCGTACACCCGATCGTTGGCGGCGAGCGAGGGGGGAAGCGAGAATGCGATGCGATGCGACCACCGTTGCGGACAGCGTCCGGGCCCAGGGCAGACCAGGTGGGTGAGGCCATGGCCTCTAGGCTCTGAGGCGTCTGGATCCATGCAGTGCGAGACTTGTGAAAAGTTGGGGGGAGGAGAGGGGGAAAGTAAGAAGGAGCAGGGGAAGGACTGACCCCCGTCCCTCCGGCCCCGTAGCCGGGCGCGGCGCGCCGCGCGCCGGCGGAGGCCGGGGGCTCGCCCGCCGGAGGCCGCGCGCGAGATCTCCCGAGGCCCGGGCCGCGGCGGGCGGCGCGGGGGCCCCGGGGTGCCCGGCGCGGAGGGCGGCTGCGAGGAGAGCGGCGTGCCTCGCGGGGGCGCTGCTGGGACCCAGGCTTACGCTCCTCCTCCTCCGCCCCCTCCTCCTCCTCCTCCTCCCCCCTCCTCCTCCTCCCCCTCCCCCTCCTCCCCCTCCTCCTCCTCCTCCTCCTCCTCCTCCTCCTCCTCGGCCTGTCCCTCTACAGGAGGGATATGCAAATATAGTGAGAAAATAGACTGGGAATTATTTTTGGAGTATGTTTGTTGACCCTTTTGGAGCATTGTTTGGATATGTTATATTTTTCGTCGAAAATCCCCCTGTAGGGGGACACGCCCGACTTAAACCCAGACCCCCTCGGTGGTGAAGAAGCCACGGCGGGAAATGATCACACATTTGAAGCCCTCGCCGGGCCCCGTGACCGTCAACAAACTCAGGACGAACAACCGGACCCAGGTACGGGGTTAGGACTTCTGTGGGGCCCGTCTCGCAATGTCTGGGAAAGGGGAGGCGAGAAAAAAGGGGAGAAACGTGCACCGTTCGTGTCCCTTTCGGGCTCCAGGGGTCCTCTCCTGAGCACAAGAAGTGCGTGCGCTTTCCGTCGTGCCAGGCACGGAGGTTAGCATGATTCAATGCACCTGTAGCTATTCCCGAACTTCATTTTGACTAGAAATTAGTTTTCTGTATGGAAATTCATGGTTTTGATCAGAAATTCAATTTATAAACGATTAATTCGCATTTTTGCATTTTAATTGATTAACTCGTAATTTTGAATGATTATTTACAGACAAAAATTCGCGGTTGTTTACGCACAAATAACCGGCACGTGCAAATTCCATGGCCCCCAAGATGGCCCCCAAGATGGCCCCGACAGGCCCCCATGGGGCCCCCAAGAGGACCCAGGCGGCCCCCGTGAGGTCTCCAAAAGGCTTCCAGGAGGCCTCCAAGAGGCCCCCAAGACCCCAAGAGGCATCAGGAGGATCCCCGCGGCGCCCAAGACTCTCAAAAACACCGCTGGGCCTGCCAAGAGGCCCCCCCAGACGCCCCAACAGGCATGCAAAAAGCGTCTAAGAGCCATCCGAGGATACTACGATAGGCATTGAAGATGCCTCTGGCTATTCTGCTCGCCCTGTTCCTCCTCCTCGTCCTCCTCCTTCGTGTCCTCCTCCTTCTCCTCGTGCTCCTCCTCCTCCTGCTTTCTCTTCTTCCTCCGATTCCTCCTCCTCCTCCTCCTTTTCCTCCTCCTCCTCCTCCTCCTCCGTGCTCTCCCTTTTTCCCTCTCCCCCCCCTCCTCCTCCTCCTCCTCCTCCTCCTCCTCCTCCTCCTCCTGCTCCCACTCCTACTCCTACTCCTACTCCTTCTCCTACTCATCATCATTCTCCCCGCCCCCTCACGCATCCATCAATCCAGCCTCCTCCTCCTCCTCATCGTACTTCCTTGGCTCGGTTCAGCTGTCGCCCTCTTTATTCCCGCACTTCCCTAGACACCTCAACTCGCCTGGGCGTCGTTTCTGGATGGGCTGGCGCCGATGCGCGAAACGTCAACAATTTGTTCTCTGACAGTCGCCACGCTAATCCAAGGTTGCGAGCGGGCCCCCCTTCGGGAGCTCTCGGCGCTGGCTTCGAACCGTTCTGAGTGCCTCGTGGGCCGCCGGGCCGTTCTGGAGCTCTCTGGAAGTCTTGGCCCTTCCGTGCTGTTTTGGGAAGTCTTTCAAGGCGTTTCGGGGGCAGTCTGGGGGCCCCGTCGGGCCGCCGTAAAGATTTCTTGGGGCGCACGGGGCCAACTCATCGGAGTGCCGTGCGAGGCCGTCGCGAGTCTCTCTTGGGCCGCTCTGGGCACGGTGAGAAGGGCGATGGCGCTTTTCCTCGGAGCCTCTGCAGTGCGTCAAGAAGCCCAAGCCGAAGCGGCCAAGTCCAGCCCTAGATCAAGGTTTCCCCTCCAGGGCGCCGCAAGGAGCAGCGTCTGCAAGAGAACCAACAGCATCGGCGCGCATGTGCAGCACCCTGCCAACGAGCGCCACACCTCGACGCTGCCTTCCCCGTCTGCGGGAATCCCGGCGGCGGCAGCCAGTTCGCGGCCGATCAGCACGCGGCCCGCTCGGCCGCCTGGAAGAGGTCAAGGCAAACAACAGGGGCACAGGAGCACGGGCGCACAGGGGAACAGGGAGAGAGAGAGAGAGAGAGAGAGAGAGAGAGAGAGAGAGAGAGAGAGAGAGAGAGAGAGAGAGAGAGAGAGAGAGAGAGAACAGAGAAGAGAGAGAGAGAGAGAGAGAGAGAGAGAGAGAGAGAGAGAGAGAGAGAGAGAGAGAGAGAGAGAGAGAGAGAGAGAGAGAGAGGAGAGAGAGAGAGAGAGAGAGAGAGAGGAGAGAGAGAGAGAGAGAGAGAGGAGAGAGAGAGAGAGAAAGAAATAAAGAAAGAGAGAAAGAAGGAGAAAGAGAGAGAGAGAGAGAGAGAGAGAGAGAGAGAGAGAGAGAGAGAGAGAGAGAGAAAGAAAGAAAGAAAGAGAGAGAGAGAGAGAGAGAGAGAGAGAGAGAGAGAGAGAGAGAGAGAGAGAGAAATAGATAGAGAGAGAGGGGGGGGAAAAAAGGAGAGAAAGAGAGAAAGAGAGAGAGAAAGCGAGGGAAAGAGAGAGAGAGAGAGAGAGAGAGAGAGAGAGAGAGCGAGAAAGCCCAGGATAGAGAATGCCGTGAAGGGTCGGTTTGCCCTGGCGGCCTGAACCAGAGAACCAGAATTCCGAATTGCCCCGCAATGGGCCCGCCAGCAGCGCCCCTGGCGGCAGCGGCTGCCTGGCGCCCAGGCCCGCGGACAGGTCCACGACGAACCCGTGGCCCCTGCGCTCCGCCGACGCAAGAGCGAGCAAGATCTTCTTCTTGTCGTCCAGGACGCGGAACCATCGGCTCTCGCCGAAAAGAGCGTCGGCCGAGGCCACGGTCGGCATCTTCACCTGGTTCCGCAAGCAATACTCGAGAATGCCCTTCTGCCAGCCCACTGGCAGGGCGCGCGTTTGAACCGCCTCCCGCTGCAGAATGGCATCGTCGATGTAGTCCGACCACACCGTCGCCGAAGCCTCCGCAAAAGCCTCGAAGGGAGGGCCGCGGATCTGCCGTGCCTCGACGCTCTCTGCGAACACGCGGAAGAACTCAGTCCCCGACTCCATGTTCAACAGGGCGCCCCCGCGCGCCGCCAACAGCCACCTGCTGCACTTGCTGAAAGGCGCGCCGTAGTCCGCCGAGTCCACGACGAAGGTCAGACACTGCCACTCGTCGGTTTCCTGCAATTCGTCGTGCGGGATGCTCTCCCCCGGCCCGTCCGTGCTCTCCACGAGAACGAGCTCGCTGTTCTGCGCCGCATACTGCAGGAGAATGCTGGCCGCGCTGGCGCCGCTGGCCCCCGGGCGCCTGAACGAACAGCTCCCCAAGAGCAAGGCTGGGCCCCCCCTGGCGCGCGCAGCAGCACCTCTGGGGAGGCCGCCGATGCCCCGGATTCCGTCGTCCACGCTCCGCCCAGATCCGCCTAACGGCGCGCACCACCTCGCGAACACTTCAGCGCGCTGATTCGCCATGGTGCTCTTAGCCGCGTCCGTGCGGCAGTGGGCAGCGATGCGAAAACCCTCCGACAAGGGACCGTGCTTCTGGAACACCCTCTGAAATTCCGTGAGCACGGGCGCCGCGACGAGCATTCCGTCGCCAAACGCCGCCACCGAGAGCGCCTGGGGCATCGATTCCGTGACGTACGCGGCGTGCTCTTTGAGGACGGGGGGCATATAGGCGTCCACCCACTCCCCGAAGAATCGCAGCGCATGTCCACTAGCAACCGCGGCTGCATCGATCGCCTTCGGGGCTGGCCAAGCTGGCAACCAGTCATCTCCGATGACCTCGGGGTCTTCCTCGCGCGGCTGCTCCTCCTCTCCGAGCTCGCCGCCGTCGCCGCCGCTCTCCTCGGCAAGCTGGCGCAGGTCGTCAGCCTCCGCCTCCACGTCCGCGGCCGCCGCGTCGGCCTCTACTTCCGACGACGCCTTGCCGCGCTCCTCGCTCACTGCCCGACCCTCTCGGTCGCCGCCGCCAGCGGCGCCCTCGCGACGCACGGGGTCTGCCGAGGCGTCGTCTTCGGCGCGCCCAGCAGCGCCAGCTTCCGGCAAACCTTCCAGCGGCCCTCGAGCTTCCTCCTCGCCCGCTGTCACAGCCGCCTCCGCGGCTCCCCTGGCACTCGAAGCGGCCGCCGGCCGCCGAAGAGCGGAGGCCGCGGCCGCCCTCTTACCCGCACTCGAGGCCGGCGCCTCGGCCGGCCTCTTCTCGGCCCCGCTGGCGATGGACGACGGCGCCTGCCTGGATAGGCGCGCTCGGAGCGGCGACGAGCCTTCTACAGTGCTGGCCCGCGCCGCCGCAGGCGCCACGAAGTTGTCGAGGTCGAGGCGCCCCCAGCGGCTCCCATCCGGGAGCTTCGGCAGTTTTTTCGGGGCCATCAGCCGCGCCGAAGCGGGCCGCGCGCCGAGGCGGCCTGGCCGCGCGGGCCCACTGCGCCGCGCGCCTTGAGCCAGAAAGCTCTGGAGGGCAGCCTACTGACCCCATCGGGGCCCTCTCGAGGCCCCCCCGCGGTTCCCAAGGCACATGTCCACGGACCAAACAAAAGCCTGCCTGGTTGTCTCACTGCCCGCCCTCCGCAAGGAGTGAACCAGATAATGAATATTATGGCCCTGGTCTTTCTCACCCCTTCCTCCCCCCGCCCCCCTCTCTTCCTCCTCCCTTCCTTCTCCCTTCCTCCTCCCAGTATCCCCTCTCCTCCTCCCGCCCTCCTCTCTTCCTCCTCCCCTCTTCCCCCCTCCCTCCCCCCTTTCTCCTTTATTCCTCCTCCCTTCCTCCTTCCTTACTCCTCTGTACCTCCCCCCTTACTCCTCTATTCCTCCTCCCTTCCCCCCTTCCTTCCACCCTCTTCCCCTCTTCCTCCCCTTCCGTGCTTCGGGCCGATCGGGGATTCGACTTTTCTGTTCCGTGGATGGGAACATGATCTACCTTTGTAGGCTCTGTTTACCTGTTGCAGGAGCGTGCCTATTGCT